CCAGTGCTGAGGATGGGGACAAGCTGTAAAACCCCACATGACCATACACTGACAGCCAGTCTTGTCACTAGAGGTAATGCAGCTGTTCTTCAGAAGCGTTAATTTAAGAGACAAAAATACAGTTAAATGTTCTTTATTACAGGCAGTTACAAAACTACTTAGTCAAAAAGACCAAAGCCCATGTCATCATCAGATTCCTCTGATTCTTCTTTCTTTTCTTCTTCTTTCTTCTCCTCGGCTGGAAAATAAAAAGGTGGTCAGAAACTTCCCATTTCCATCAATTCATGGAGTCACACTATCAAAGACTTCACATTCAGAGACTAACATCAAGGAGCACAACCTGAGCAACCCTACCAAGTCCCATCTCATGGCCCAGTGAAAGCAGTGCTACCAGGGAAATGGCACCGCACCTTCACCAGTCTATGAAACCCGAGAAGTTCTACAGAGCAGGCTCACTTTGTGAGCATCAGTGACATCCTCACACATGAGACAGCAGCAGTGCTGTCCACTGATTCAGAGTGCGACCAATGCACAGAGAAAGAGGATCTGGGGGTGCCAGCGGCGTGCCTAGGTGGCCAAGAAGGCCAACGGCATCCTTGGCTCGTCACACAAACGGCACAGCCAGTAGGAGGCGACCGTCCCTCCGTTCTCAGCTCCGGCGCTCAGCGCACTTACCGGGAGCAGCACCACCGCCCGCCGGCGCGGCACCACCCGCAGGAGCAGCCGCAGCCGGAGCTCCGCCACCGGCTCCTACGTTGCAGATGAGGCTTCCGATGTCGATGTTGGCCAGAGCCTGGGGAGGACGAACACCGGCGAGACCTCGTTACCACGGGGCTCGCCCGCCCGCAGCACAGCGCCGAAGCAGCCGCAACCTTCTCCCCTCGTTGCCACCTACCTTAGCGAAGAGGCCCGGCCAGAACGGCTCCACGTTCACTCCCGCCGCCTTGATGAGGGCGTTAATCTTATCCTCCTGCCACACAGAGAGCGGGGCTGAGGGCCAGCCATGCCTCCCCCGCACCGCCGGCCATGCCGCGGCCCCGCCGCCATCTTGTGGCGGAGGCCCCCGGGCCGCGCACTCACCGTGACGGTGACTTCGTCGTCGTGGAGGATGAGGGCGGAGTAGATGCACGCGAGCTCGGAGACGGAGGCCATGGTGGGGGCGCGGTGCCAGTCGCCGGGGGAGAACGGCCTTAGCTTCAGCTGAAGGACGCAGCACCTTGTCACGCCGGGGACGAAAGGGAAGACGCGCCACCGGGGGGGGCTTTATAAGGGTGCCATCAGCCAGTCGCGATCCGCGAGCCGGGGCGCTGTCCAACCCGCGAGCATTGGGGGCGGGCCCGAAAGGAGAGCTCCGCCAATCGCAGCTCGGCGGGGAGTGATGGGAGATGACGGCGGCATTACCTCAGCGGCGCTCCCTGGGCGGCCGTGCGCGGCGCTGTGGGGCTCTCACCTGTCTCGTCTTTTCTGACTTTTTTTTTCTTTCTATTCCTTCCTAGACAGATCCCACACTGATCGTATCGACGTATGTGAAGGAAAGAATTGAGGAATGACTCCCCTGTGCAAAAGGAAGCACGGAGAGCTAGAGCTTGGTAATGCAGCAGGATCACATTCAGCCTTAATTGGAGCTGAATACCTCACAAGGGTTTTACTCCATCTGAAGATACTACCAGCTTCAGAATAGCAAAACAATGCACATGCACTGCTCAAAATAAAACATTAAGACCTGACATCTGAGCAAACTTAGGCTTTGATTGGTAAAGATGTTAATTAAAGGAGATGTGTTGTCAGCCTTGCTTCACGGCTGTCAGGCTGCATCTACTGAGTGATGCTGATGAGACTTACCTGCAGGGGCTCAGAATTAAGTTATAGTGAAAGCAAACCACTATAGATATGTACACACATGTATATCTACATACCTACATCTGTACGTGTATCCATTTAAAGGAGTGGAGACTGCTGTGACTGCAGTATTAACACTGATAAATCATGCCAGTTTTAAAATGTAAAACACAACTTTGCCACTGAAAGTCGTTAAGAAAACACCCCATGCTAATGAGTCATTCTCACAGCTGTTGTCCCTGCAGATTATTTTCACACTTTTTTGGTCATTATCACAACATATGCAAAGCAGCCAGCACTCACCACTTGATCCCAAGCTGGCATTGTGTACACAGCCCTGCTGAGCTGATGCTGTGTGGTCAGAGCATGATCGTGGTTTGTGGATAATCATTACGGTAGACAAACTCAAGAGGTCTTCAGCAAGGAAGCCATTTTCTTTCTTTCTCTTCTCTTGCTTAACTACTTGCTTTGTATTGTTTGTAACCTTCCTGAGCTGATTCTTCCTTTATAAAAACAATCTTTTCCCAGCTTTCAAGGTGTACTTTTTCAGTAATGAATAGCTGATCGTGAGTTATTGATGCTTTGAGGTCCCTGTTTTCCAGGCCTTTGTCATTATCCTGTAATAAAACACAATGCAGAAGCCTGGTGTAAAGTTCCAGGTCACAGAGCCAGCTCTCACAGATGTTACACAAGTCTGACAAACTAGGGCTGGTGCCTCTGGCCTGTTCATAGCAAGACAACAGCATTTTTACCGGACACATGGTAAGAATTTTCTAAGGAGTTATGTTGCAGTGGCATTATTGTGTTTGGTTCAAAGAAAGCCAGCATTAAAATCAGTGTAGTGATTGTTCTGGGGTTCTAGAAAACTGCATTATGTCATTGCTCAGCACTGAGGAAGAATAAGTAAGACAGATGAAGTGGTAAAGTCTTCTACCTGTGACTTGAAGGCAGAGTTTCCAAACACAAAACAACACATGGGCTAGGCACTCAGCCAGGTGTAGGAGCTGCAGGTGTGGAAGTCACTTGCAAGATGGAGAAAAGATATGACGTTGACTGAAAAAAGCAAACAACAACAAAACATGAATCCATGTTTTTTTTTACATGGTTTTGTATTGCCTGGAATCAAGGTCTTTCCAACTCTTGAGAGAGGGAAGGTGCTGGCAGATGATCAGGGTGCCTTGTGTTAGTCTTAGTCACTGTGTAGGTGCTGTTCATCAGGGCAGTTATCCCCTCCTGCATCTGTTTTCCAGTTGTGGTACTCATTTCTTTCTCTGTATGGTATGCTTTTGCAGGGTTGTTTTGTTGCCGTTGTTGTGGTTGCATTTTATTTTATTTTGGCAGCATGACTGTTCACCATAAAGTTGTGTTCTTCCAATTTGTTCACATTCATTCTCAGATACAGTATTTGATTCTCTTATCTTTTTGTTTTCTGGAAATGCCTTTTTCCTTAGCTTACTTTTTTTTATTATTATTTTTTTTTTCCTGTGTTTTACACTTCCTCATAAGTGTGATGGGATGCCCCGTCCCTGGAAGCGTTCAAGGCCAGGTTGGATGGGGCCCTGGGCAGCCTGGTCTGGTATTAACTGGGGAGGTTGGTTGCCCTGCTTGTGGCAGGGGGTTTGGAGATTCATGATCCTTGAGATCGCTTCCAACCCTGGCCATTCTGTGATTCTGTGTTCAGACTCCCAGAATATGTTCATGCCTGAGCTGATGACTGCATTAGAAGTCCCACAGAAACCCGTGTGGAAAAAAACCCTGAAACTCTACAACTCGAAACAGTAATACTCAACTCGCACCATATCCCCAATAGGTGGTGCTGCACCTTTGTCAGAGTTTTCATTTGTTGCTGTGTTGTTGGCTCTGATCACTAGAAAAGTCCGTTCTTGAGTAAACTGAAGTCAGAGCCTCAAAGACTTTATAACCAGGTGTACACATCAGGTCAGGTCATAGTTGTGGTCTTTCTCACTTTTGTTCTGATAGAACCATAGAATTGCTCAGGTTGGAAAAGACCTTAAAGATCAACGAGTCCAACCACAGCCTCACCACACTACCCTAACTCTAACAACCCTCTGCTAAATCATGTCCCTGAGCACCACATCCAAATGGTTTTTAAACACATCCAGGGATGGTGACTCAACCACCTCCCTGGGGAGCCTATTCCAGTGCTTAACAACCCTTACTGTAAAGAAGTGTTTCCTGATATCCAACCTAAACTTACCTTGGTGCGACTTGAGGCCATTTCCCCTCGTCCTGTCACCTGTCACCAGTGAGAACAGACCAGCCCCGCTCTCGCTGTAAGCACCTTTCAGATATTGGCAGAGAGCAACAAGGTCTCCCCTCAGCCTCCTTTTCCCCAGACTGAACAGCCCCAGTTCCTTCAGTCTCTCCTCATAGGCCATATTCTCCAAGCCCCTCACAAGCCTTGCTGCCCTCCTTTGGACCTGCTCCAGCACCTCCATGTCCTTTCTGTACTGAGGTGCCCAGAACTGAACACAGTGCTCGAGGTGAGGCCTCACCAATGCTGACTACAGGAGCAGGATTACCTCCCTGCTCACCACACCATTTCTGATACAAGCCAGGATGCCATTGGCCTTCTTGGCCTCCTGGGCACACTGCTGGCTCATATTCAGCCCAGTGTCCGTCAATACACCAAGGTCCCTTTCCATCAGGCAGCTTTCTAGCCACTCCTCCCCAAGCCTGTAGGGTTGCGTGGGGTTGTTCTGACCAAAATGCAGTACCCAACACTCGGCCCTATTTAAAATGACACAGAATACGTGAGAAATCTAATGCAGGCACTCCAGAATAACATCTTAAAAGCCAGGGCACTTGAAGGCTAAAAAAAAAGTAAGTTTGGGTCCCCCTCAGAGTCAAGCATCAAATTTACATCTTTCCTCCCTAAGTAAAATTTTTGCCATTGTATCATTACTACCCATCCCTAGCAGACTTGTATAAACTGGCTTTGAATGCAATTCGGGTTAAAATGAAAAGGGTTGTAGTGAAGTCAAAATATGTTCTCTAATAAGAAGCCAGGTATTCTGCCAGCAGCCTATTGCATGTAAAATATTTACCCCCAAGCACCTCCATTTATAAAAATGAATTTTAAAAGCCATTCATAAATCCCATCATTACTTCCAAAACGATGAGAAAATGCACAGCTTTTCCAAAACTAATTTAATTCCTTCTATGGGAAGTCTCTAGGAAATTTCAGCCTGAAATGCAGCCGTTATGACAGTGTATTGTGCAAAACAGTCACATTTCTCTTTAAAGAAATTTGATTGTGTTTCAGTAATTCTTCTTACACTACTGTGTAATTGTTAATAGAGTACATAGAGAGCACGATGAAAAGAAAGCTGCTATGGAACTTCCAAACCACTCTGATCCAAAACCTTTTATGAAATGGAGGAGTTATTTGTTGTTGTTGGTTTTCTGTTGGTGTGAAATTGCCGAGGAAGAGATAATTATGTTTCACTGTGCTCCAAAACAGCAACTGTCAGTGACAGAAAGCATTAGAAGTAATGAAGGGACACGGAGCAAAGCGTGTGTCCTGTTCCTTCAGGAGCAGAGAGAGACCAGCACTGCTGCGTGAACACAGAAATGTTGCTGGGAGAGTACAGCAGCACAGAGGAACAACAGGACTCCAAGACATGAAGACAGTGTTTAAATACAGCTATTTAACTGATTTACTGTTTAACTGATTGTGCAAGTCCGCAGCCATGTATACACAGCGATAAGCCCTTTTGCTTTTGAAGTTCTAAAGCCTTCACCCATCTTCTGTTGCTCGATAGCTTGTTATTTTCAAACCGACTGCAGAGCAGTCGTGAACTCTTCATCAGTTGTTTTTCCTTTTGCAGCAGCGTGAGCTATCAGATGAAGTTCCATATCAGTGCATCCCTTCTGCATGTAAGTTCTGCTGACCATTGCTTTCAGTGTGGTGTTTCACAAGCAGAATGATGTAGAAAGATGAGACAGGATTATCAATGTTTGTGTGTCCAACACTCAGTTTGGTTGTTGTCTGCCTACAAAACAGTGATGGTCATGTTCCTGGAAGTACATATTGAGCTCATTCCACATTTCTACCAACGCCAGGAGCTCTTCTTTCATGTGAAAAAATATAACACAGTAATCATTGCTCGTGTTTTGTTCCTCTTCTCCTTGCAGGTTCCAAACTTGTGATTGTTCTGATGGAGGGGAATCTTATCAGTGAAATTATATATTATAATGCTTGAATGAAGTATATAAGCTTTGATAAATGTTTTGAGCACTAATAGAGCTGATAATCAAATGCTTGCGATGCTCCTGGTGATGGTATGTATGTCAACTGCCACAGCACGTCAGGTGCCAGGGATCAAAAGTCACAGACTTCGAAATGCCATTACTCACAATGATGACTTACTTTCATCTTGCATTCCTTGTACAGCAAACATAAGCCTTGATGTTTCTCTTGCTGTAACAATAAACAAACTGCTGATGTGATGGTAGCCCTACTACGTTTTTTGTCCTTGTTTTTTCACACATTTTCGAACCTGAGAATGTAATGGTAAGTCTCAAGACAGGCACATGGCATACAGCTATACATACACTGTGCAGTCAGTGCTAGCGTGAGGCGGTAAATCTATACATAGCTGGGTGACATCAGCTGCTGGATGCTGGTTGCTAATTTCTCCACAATCACCGCTTTCAGTGGACTTTTCTAGAAACCTATTATGGTACTTGTGTGTTCTCTTGTACTTAAATGCAGAAGGTCTAGTGGCATGGAAGTATGATAACGTTAGAGGGAGTTATCTTCCTAATCAGATTGAAGAGATTGATTTAAATATAGTATCAAAAACTGAGATGCAGGCTGCACGATTTCCTACTGTCAGCATTTAGGACTGCCTAATATTTTCTTACCACAACAGTCCCTTCTAAAGACTTTGTCCCTTTCTTTCTTGCAGCCCCCCTTCAGATACTGAAAGGCTGCTCTCAGGTCTCTGCAGCCTTCTCTTCTCCAAGCTGAACAGCTCCAGCTCTCCCAGCTGTCCTCAGAGAGGGCGGCATTCCATCCTCGGGATCACTTTTGTGGCCCTCCTCCAGATGTAATCTAACAGATCCCCGTCTCCCGTACTGAGAACTCCACATCAGGACACAGTACTCCACGTGAGGTCTCAGCAGAGTAGAGGGACAGGATCACCTTCCTCGCCCTGCTGGCCACGCTTCTTTTGAAGAGAAGGTTCCAGGGAGACCCTAAGCACGGCCCTTCAGAATGTAAAGGATGGCTGTAAGGATGGGGACAGACTCTTTAGCAGGGTCGTGACAGGACAAGGGGAAGCATTTGCAAACTAAAAGAGGGAACAGTTATATTCAAAATGAGAACAAAGTTCTATCTGATAAGGATGATGGAGCACTGGCACAGGCTGCCCGGAGAGGCGGTGGATGCTCCATCCCTGATCGAAGGTCGGGTTGGATGGGGCTGTGCGCACCTGATGGAGCTGTAGGTGTCCCTGCTCACTGCAGGGGAGTTGGACTAAAGGGCCCTTATGAGCCTGTTCCAACTCAAAGAATTCTATGTTTCGATGTCTCTTTTGCATCACGGCAATTGTTAGTCCGTATTCTCCTGCACTAAACTTCGAATAACATGGCCAGAGATGACCCCGCTGTGCCAGTCAGCACACCGCTGGATCTCCGAGACAGGACACTCACATCAGCGTCACGTCGAACGGTCGGCAGAGGGCTCGTCACGTCGCCACGTCTCGCTGAAAGAGACGGCACAAGCCGCTAGGAGCGAAGCGGCGCGAGCACGGCGAAAGATCGCTCGCACCCCGCCGTGAGGAAGAGGAGGCGGCGGCGGCGGAAGGGCGCACCCCGCTCGCTCCGGCCGTGCCGCGCTTCCCGCCCGATGGGGCCCGAGGAGGCGGGCGGAGGCGGCGGGCGGGGCGCCCCTTCCCGTGACTGCGCGGCTCCTCCCTTCCCCCCGCCCACCTCCCCGCTCCTCAGTGCCGCCGAGTAACCTGGTTTCCCGGCGTCGGCCCGGCCCTCTTCCCTCCACGGCGTGGCTTCGTCTGCCCTCTCTCTCTTTTTGTTTTTTTTCCTCCCCTCTCCCCTCCTCCCCTTTTCTTTTCCTCTCCCCTCCCTTCTCTTTCCTTCTCCTCCCCCTGCTCCCAACAGCGTAACCGCCGCTCGGGCTTCTCTCCCTCCCTTTCCCTCCCTTTCCCTCCCCTTCGGCCGCCGCCGCCGTAGGGACCTGAAGAGAGGCGCCGCCTCCGCCGCCGCGCACGGAGCCATGTACCCGGGAGCCAGCACCGCCGGACCCGGTGAGGCTTTGGCCGCTTTCCCTCGAGCCACCCGGGGCGCTTTTTTCGCTCTGGGGTTTCGAACTCGGCTCCCGCGTGGGGGAGCTGGGGGAGGCGGCGCACGAGGCGCTGTCAGCGGCCCCTCACGGCGCTGCGCCGTGGGGCCGGAGGAGCGCGCGGGGGGGGAGGGGGGGAAACGCGGGCCTGGCCGCGGCCGCCGAGGCCACGCCGTGCGAAGGAGGGCTCGGGCCGCCCTCGGCACCGCGAGCCTGAGGCCCCCGAGAGGGGTCGCCTTCCTTCGCTGTCCCCTCCCTCTGCCGGGGGGCCGAGGCCGGGGGCTCTGCCCGCTTGGAGCCGCCCCGCAGCGAGGCGGGGGCCGGCGGGGCCGTCCGTGCCCGCGGCTGTGCGCTACGTGCCGCCCGCCTTCTCCGCGCGGGGCCCGGCTGTTCTGCCAGCTCGGCCTCCTGGCCCGCGGTGTCCCCGGGGTCTCCCGTTTCCTCGTTCCGATCCGCCGCGCCGTCCTGAGGCGCACGGGAGCGGGGGGTGAGCGGCGAACCGCGGCCCTCCTGCCTGGTTTCCTTGTTGAGATGGGAGTAAAAACGGTGTCCACGTGTCGGGTAGGGCTGGAAGGGGCTGCAGACCTCAAAGCTGTGTGTTCTGCCAGCGAAAGCGGCGATGAATGCGAACAACAGGATGGTCACTGACGCTCTCGGTTTAAATAACGTTTAGCGTGATTTAGATGGACGTTGTGCGAGTTGGCACAATATAGGACAGTGCTTGTTACTGTTCGGCTGTTTCTGTGTTGTAGTTTGGGTGACTGGTACTTCAGAGGTTGAGATTTTTTTCCTAGAAAAGTTTCAGAGTGAGCAACTTCATTTTAAGTTACTGTTCTTAACAGGTTTTCCTAGAATCATCTCTAGAAGGGTATTTGGCAAGGAGTAGCGTAGCAGAAGGTGGAACCTGTGGCTGCTGCTCAGGAATGCTTCCTCTGTAAGAACACTCACACGGTAGCATCCACAATTTGGTGCTGGCTTCTGGTTTTTTTCTTCCTCTGATCTGATTCTCCTTGAAGGAGCAGGAATCAAGAAGGACAACTGCAGTGATTGCTTTTGTCTTAGGGGAGTCTTTGTAATTCTTTGCATTTCTTCCTGCAGTGCATTTACTGGATGTGCTGGGGGGAGAGGTTACTGCAGTTGTGTGTATTCAGACTGTTATTCATGGCACTGGGTTTATGTAGGGTCACTGCAGCTGTGTGCATCCAGAGTGATATTCAGGGCTCTGTGTTTTATGTAGAACATCACTTGCACGTTTCGGTAGTAACATCGGTGTATAAGTATTGATTTAATTATCTGCCTTGCTTTTAGTGCCTGGTTTTCTTCTTCATTCAGTGTCAAGGTATTTGTGGCACTCATTTGTGTTGCAAAGGCTGCTTACCTCCTGTTGATAAAATCTTCAAAATTGTGTGTAAAGAGCCGAAGTATTATTGAAAATACTTGCAGTGTATGTATTGGGAGTACCTTTACATGTCCCTTTATCCTCCTACATTCTCTTTGATCCTTCTCTTCCTTTCATGCAAAATGATCTGACTTCTACAGCACTACACCTAGTGTTTAAGGACATTACCCCTTTACCAGAACAGCCCTTTCTGAGCATCAGGATTTTGCTCTGAGACCATCCTTTCACTGAGTCTGAGGTTGTTATTCCTCTCCAAACATCACCTCTGTGTCTCAGACTCCTACTCTTCTGCTCTCTCCAACCAAGCTCATCCTCAGACTTGTTTGCTTCCTAGTTTATCTCTGCAGCTCAGCCTTCTGCAGAGCTGGGCAGAGTCTGTTCTGGGGTAGGAGCTGTGAGTTGTTCTCTGTATTGTGAGGATTTTTGCTTCCTTGCTGTAAAACCATCCCACAGAGAGCCTTAGCAGCACAATGGCTTCTGCTGGTCCAAACAGCTTCCTGCTCCACATCAAGTGGTAAGCAGGGATCTTTTTGTTAGAGGGTCTTATTGCAAACCGCAGGGTAGTACAGCTGTCCCCCTGTTTCTCTTATGCCTCTTGGTGATTCCTCTCCTTGGACCGTGTGTGAAAGGCAGAGGACCAGTGTGGCCTTGCCTCTGCTTTCACATACATTACGAAAAGCAGCAGATCGGAGCATTAAAGCACTTCCTTATCATATCTGGCTCCTGCTTCTCCCATCATTTAGGATCAGTCAGCTCCAGGCATCCTAGTGCATCTGCATCTGGACTGTGGCCTAAGGAGATTGGTACAGAATTTGGGAATCCATCATGTTCTAGGCACAACTGGTGGATAGTGAAATATTCTGATACTTTCCAAGTGAGTTGATATGGAAAAAATACCTGACAAAAGGCAGCTACTCCTGTAGCAGAGATTCTAAGTGAGACCCTTTGGGCTTTCCTGGATTGCAGTGAGCTATGACCAGCAATCTCAGCTGGATCTTTAAGGGTTCCCTCCAACACACTCAGGTTGGAATATCTCCTAGGCACTATCAAATCCTCAAGACCTTTGGTAAGGCCGGAGTGAAGTTATCCCACTCAAGCTAGTCTTGATTATCTCCCGCTGAGGCAGGTGTACTGTGAGCATTTACTCTAAACTTGAATAGAGGGAAGTGTTAAGTATAGGCTGGCTTATTTTTCCATCCACCTCCCTGCTTAGATATGTTCTAACGATAGGTGTTTCATAAGGGTGGGATCCACTGGATCCACGTCTCTGTTTATCTGTGTGTGTGTACTGCAGTGTATGTTGTGCATCTGTGCACATGTGTATACACTGATATAGGGTATTCTGTTAGTGTGAATCTTGTCCTCCATGGATCTGTAGTCAAGTTGCTGTTGAGTTGTATATTTCACTAAATCACTTTATCAATCTCCAGATTGGTTAACAATTAAGTGCTGTTAGAATTCAACCCTTTGATTTACCTCATAAATGTTAAATTGCTTCTAAATGTAAGTGAGGGAATTATGTTTTCATTTCTGATTATGATGAAACCAGTCTAGAACTGGGGCCATCAGCAGGAGGCTCAGCTGTATTGCACAAGGCTCTGTGCAGTCTGGGTGCTGCGGTGAAAGTCCCCTTCCATACATTAATCTGACACCTGAAATGGCCAAAATCTGGTTCGGAAGAATGCATGAGAGTTGTCATTTGCAGCCATTTAAGATTAGCAGCTGCTGTGAATGCCCAGGAGCTCCAGCATCCGTGTGTCAGCACATCCTTGATGCCACTTGAGTGCTCCGTTCCTGTGCCTCCTAACTTAGACCTTGCTGCCGTTTGCTTCTCGATGTTGTTGATGCGTGGGAAGTACTTCACTCTTCAAGTTCCCACTGCCAAACTGGATGCCCATTCTGTGGTGTTGGCCTGCTGCCAATGTAATGGTTCAATCTGCCCCGGGGCTGGCTATTTTCATCTTAATTCTTTCTCCATTTAACAGTATGAAGCAAGTTATGTGTCCGGAGCAGCAGTTTTTCTGTTGTTCACCTGACTGATTTCAAAGAACATCCAAGTGGCGTAGTGATGGAATGGTTTGTGTTGGAGGGAACCCTTAAAGATCAGGTAGTCCAACCTTCCTTTCCATAGACAAGGTGGACGTGTTAATAAAGACACTGTTTGTATATCAGTTTGTTTTGAAAAAGTGGTGAAAACTCACGTGAACTTTTGTAACTTACAGTGAGTGATTCTGTATTTCTGAATTGCAAGATTAGCGTCCTATATATTCTATTTCTTAGTCTTTGAAAGCACGTTTAATTTTGTCTGCTACTGGAGACATTGTTAAAGCAGCAGTTGTCTGAAATACAGCGGCTTTGTAAAGGGGGTTATGGCTTTCCATGTGTCAAACACGTGAAAATTAAGGGTATTTTCTTACCTCCTGGTTGATTATTTGATGAAAAGATGACTGATGTTGACGCACATCCGACTGAAACTTTCTCCTTTCCTTAGCGAGCCAATGTATACAAAAGATTCACTGTATGGAAAGTACAAGAGTTTATTCAGCAGTGATTCTCTTACTGACTGTACAGATAGCTTTACAAAACTTGTAAGACTCATCGAAAATGGTGTTGCATACAGCCTTCCTTATCTCAAGTTTTAGAGGAGCTATTGGTCATGTTGTTAATGACCAAATTTATAATATTCATAACAGCAGGCAGTGCTACCACTTGTTAAAGATGTGACCTCTCACTTCCATGACTATTAAGAAAAGTCATCTGAGTATCTTATTTTTGCTAAGTTCCAGGCTAGGAAAAAAAAGAGCTGATGGAAAATATTATGTAGTTTTAAGTGTAATGGCTGTGGGTAGGGATCTGGTCCATGCATTGTCTGATGAATTGCCCTCAGTACCATGCATCTTTTCTGATGGATAAAGAGCAGCCCACCAGCACGAGAAGTGTCTCCTGTCCTGTTGGCTCGTCAAGTTCTGTGCTTTCCAAGGTGCTGCAAGGGCTTTTTTTTTTTTTTCTTCTCTAATTTATTTTAATACCTAAAGCTGAACACAAACATTTTCTTACTGATTCCATGCTTGCAAAGTTGGAAAAGACAGACCTGAACAACATCATCTTCCACAGCTGTAAAGGCAAGTGGCACTGATAGCAGGTAGACATCTCAAAACTATCTGGATGGGAAGATGCATGTAATGGAAGCAATGATCTTCCCTTGGAAAGAAAGGGGTATTGTCTGTGCTTAATGAATGCTGAGCGTAAAATGCTTTGATCAAGTACTGCTTATGCTAAAGCAGAATGTCTTGGCAGTTGATGTTATCAGATTAATCACAGAAGGGACCTCAAGGATCATGAATCTCCAACCTCCCTGCTACATGCAGGGCCACCAACCTCCCCGTTTATAGACGGGGCTGCCCAGGGCCCCATCCAACCTGTTCTTGAACACCTCCAGGGATGGAGCATCCACAGCCCCTCTGGGCAGCCTGTTGCAGCATCTCACCACTTCACTGATTAATCAAGGATACTTGTTCCCCTTAGGAAATTGGCAAGAGGAAAACTGTTCAGCTTGATCTTACATG